TATATATTTACTGTTTCTTTTAAATTAAATAATAATTTAATAAATATTAACTTATTGAATCAATTTCAATTTCATTTAAAGCCGGTCCGCGTGAGCTCCCATATAACCCTTGCAAGGTCGGAATCTAAATTTCTCCTATAAATTACTATCCATTCTTTCCTTGTGATCATTTTCAATTATCGCACAACCTCATCTGCTGCGATCCCGGGCTAAATTGCTTAAATGCATTGACCTAAAAAACGGAGAAACTTCAATTTTTATTACATCATTACGTAACAATTATAAATTTTTATACACAAAAATTTGAACAATGTCAAGAGTTTCAATCCGAAATATTTTGTTTATTTATAGAACAATATAACCATCCAATTTCTACATCTAAAGCTGAAACGTTGCTCTATCGAGTGATATAAATGTCAATTTAAAAAAAAATAGAATATACATGCATTTGAGCTCTAAAAATATAATATAATATTTTCCTTCTATAATTATTGCACAAAGAAAATATAGTAATACTTTTACTAATTTAAATTTATACATTTTTTATTTGTCTATTTTTTTAATAAAATTGGCAATTATACCATTTGATAGAGGAAAGTTTTATCATTATAAATCTGTATTTTTAATTGCGGTACGATAATTTGTAACGCAGTTATGCGAATTAGAATGTTCCTTTTTACTTAACCTGCAAGTAATTCAGAAAAAATCGTAGACACTTTTTGATGGATAGTTGCTTGTCCAATCAAGTGTGGCGCCCGGCGGATAACTGATATGCAAGCTACAGACGATTAGTTATCGGCATCTTTGTATTTAATGTTCTGTGTGTCGCTACGCGCGTTTATTGTATTCATGCCATGACAACCGTTCTGTCTTTTGTCTAAACAAAACTTGTTATCCGCACAACCTTCGTCGTCAAGTCCGTTTTGACTGAATAAGATTTCTTACAATCTTTCTCTAAAAAACTCTTTTATTCCTAACAAATGGTTATGGGCCCAGGACGTTCAGAAATATAAAAGAAAAGAGCATAAGAAGAGACACTCAAAAAACTATAGAAGCAATATTGAAAGATGAGTCATACGGACAATAGAAGTGATAACGTAGTCGAGAAGCTGTCCGACAGAAATTACCGGACATGGAAAACTGAAATAAAGTGGCTTCTAAAAGGTAGGGGACTACTAAGTTATGCACTCGGTGAAATCACACTAAGTGATACAGCTACTGCGGCCGATAAAAAATTGCATCAATCAAATGACGACAAGGCATTAGCGACTATAGGCTTGAGCTTAGAA